TGTTTTTCTCAATCAAGAAATGTCTCAAGTGACAATAATTCCCTCAGGCGTACCTCAGGGCTCTGTATTGGGACCGCTTCTGTTCCTCATATATACGTTCGACTTAAGCAAAAGTATTGATAATTCTCATGTCCAGTCATTTGCAGACGATACGCAATTGCTCCATTATTTTAACCCAGATAATGTCAATAATACTACTCAAATTTTACAAAACACGATGTTAATAAATTAATTAAATACTCTTTAGATCACAATATACTTATTAATCCACAAAAATCTAAAATGTTATTATTTTGCGAACAAAGAAAAACATACAATGTAACACAGCTCTTGAACATTCAGATAAATAACCAAATTTTGCAATTTCTGAGCCTGCAAAAATTCTTGGTGTTGTTTTTGATACAAAATTAAGGTTTATTGAACATGTTAAAAGTCTATCTCAGAAAACCTACCTACGGCTGCGCACTCTTATAGCAAACAGGTATTTACTAAATTTTAAGATGCGTAAAAAACTATGTGAAGCATTGGTCATATCTATACTAAATTATTGTAATATCGTATACTATACTTGTTTAGACAATTTCACTAAAAACGTTATTCAAGTTATTCAAAACAATTGTATACGATTCATTTTGGCTTACGTAAATTTGATCATGTATCGGCGAAATATCCCGTTCTAAACTGGTTAAAAATTAATGACATGGTCAAGTATCACTATTCAGTTTTTGTTCACAAATTGCTGCTTACGTCTAAACCTTATTACTTGAAGGACAAAATTTCATTTAATAATGATGTTCACTGTAGAACTCTCAGAGAAAATAATATTAGAATACCCCTGCATACGTCTACACTTTTTAAACGCAGCTTTTCTTACAATGTTGCTATTATTTATAATGACCTTCCTAAAGTATATAAAGAATTTTCATTACCTGTCTTTCGACAAAAAGTTAAAACATTATTACTCAACCCTCCAAACATATAATTTACGTAATCATTCATTTCTTTTTTATTCCATCTTTAATTCAGATTAATAATTTTTTGGTGCATTTGGGTTTGGAAAGTATGCCTTTTTCTTTTTTTTTAAATTTTACTTTCGATGTAATGAACCAAATCTGTTTGTGGATAGTGTATTCTTTTGAACATCTGCTAGAGACTATATGGCTAAGTGTAAGAGTAGCAGCATGCTAAACTTCGCCATATAAGTCTGACATTTGGCTATACTACAATGTAATTGTGGATAAATAAAGACGTCTATTATTATTATTATTATTATATTTGTTCTCTACCATATGACCAGAAAAATATGATCGAAGAAATTTGAACCTCAGCATATGTAGTTGTAATGACTTCTAATATCGAACTTTTACATTTTAACATCTTTCATACATATCAATGTTTGAATATACTGAAAGCCAAATTCCACTGATGTAATGTATACGAGAGAGATGAGCGAAAAGCGTGCAATACGTACCTTAGAAAGAGATAGCAGCCTAGCAGCCCGAGTGACGAAGCCACGGCCGGGATCGGCGTACTCTTGTTATCCCGTGCAAAATGTGCTGTCAGTAGGTAGACATTGGTTTTTGGATGCAAAGCGGTTTGCGATTTCAAAGACTAGGAAATGAAATAGCAAGTAACAAACACACAAGGCACACAGGCATTTATTGAACAAAAAAAATTAAAGAACTAAAGACAAGTCCTGGACGACAGGCTAAGAAAATTATTTTGCACCACCCCCCTAGCTGAATGGTTTCCGGTACATATTAAAATAAAAGAGCATATGCAGGTGCTTGACTATTACCGGTAGACAACCGAGAGCAGGAAGTCCCGGATGTAACCTGAGGGTAGAACCCGGAGGTAGAATCCGAAGGTAGAACCTAAAGGTAGAACCCTCGAACAATCAGTGTTCACAACAATGGAGGCGTGAGTCCCACTAAAATTCACCTCGGACTACCCCTACAGACGGTTTCCCTCAGCTCGACGGTTGAGTTTAGTTATGTCCACGGCTAAGCCCAACTAACAATTAACACTCCTATTAGAGTTGCAAGAATGATTATACAGTATTCCTTAAACAGCATTGTATACTGTAAGAACATTGGCAAAACCCTCTCAGAACAGCTATACAAGCGGGATGAGCACACCTAATAGGACACTTCAGTCATTTAAGAGGTTGTATAAGGGCTGCAGGTAACAGTTATAAAACAAAAGTGTAAGCTTCTTGCAGCCGCTATAGGACATTTGCGTCAGTGTACGATACAGTTTTTGTCAACTATACAACTATTCTGTTACGTGATTCTACTTTATTGCAACCAAACTATTTCTTATGTATTGTATAGACGAAGTGAAGAATATATAACTAACACATTATAGTCATCTTGTGTACTTACATATCGGCCATTGTGAATTTCATACACAGGTATATCATAAACTTCTACACTGTGATATAGGGCTATTGAATTACTAGCGCATCAAATTTTATTGTGATTATCCTGCAAATTGGTTACCCAATTTCTACGGGCTTCGTATTTGATTCATATTTTGACAATGATCAAAAGTATGTCTAGATTTTGAAGATGGAAAACTGAACTTATCTGCGTTAAATCTTCCACAAATCCAATATTTAGACACAATTACACTAATGTTTATCTCTTTATATCTGTAATTTCGAACTGAAACCCAATTATTTAATATTAAATAGAGGAATAAATGTTTGCCCAATATGGCGGGTGGTTGTGTAAAATCATGGCATCGTCCATGTTGTCTTTAGGTTATTAGAATGTGTTGGTATTGCCTGCAGGCGTTATACAACAATCTGACAAATGTCTGAAATGAAATACCGACAGAGTCGAATGATTTACCCAGAATTTGTACCAGATCTATATCTTCTGTTTGAGCAGTTGATAAACCTTTTGAACCAATATGCATGCGTTGTTTGTCTTAAAACATTGGTTATGGCATTTTACAAAAATATAACAGCAGAAAGTTAGGTTATGGTGAAGTTGTATACCAACATATTTAGCATATGTACAGCCTTTAACAGTTACTAAACAACAGTTGTATAAGTGTTTCCGTTGGGAGCAATTTGTTGGCTAAAGTAGTAAATTTGCACAGCAAAACAACAAGGCTCAGGTTTGTTTTATAAACGTTACCATTGATGCCACAACACAACCATTTTGACTAACTTGCAAATGTGCCGTATAAAATAGTTGTATAAACGTTTATGCAACAGCTAAAAAATTGTCCTATAAGGTGTTGTGTAACTGTGCTATAAGAATATTTTAAACACCTCATTTTAGAGCACATATGTTGCAGAAAGCAAATTTGCATTCCAACATTAAGCCAGCATTTTGGTGTTCAGGCAACAACAATAGAGAGCTTTTATGGCTGAACGGTTCTTTTACCAAAAGCTTATAGCACTACTTTGCTAGTTGGGCAGAAAAGAGAATACGGTCCATTGCAGTGTATACATATAAAAACCATATCTATACTTATGTATAGATATGGTTTTTACCATACTATACCATACTACTTAAGCTAGACTATACTAAGTTACATATAAATCCGCTCACCCAGTTTAAATGGTTTTATTTTAATAAAAGTTGGTGAATGTATTTATCTTACTGTAAACAACAAGTGAAAAAATTTTCAGCCTTATCAGTTGGACATTCCGGTTTTTATACTGCTTTTTTTTAATTCACTAACGCTCTAAAAATGAATATTTCAGCCGCAGTAAAGAATGAACGTTGGCGGATTTTGGTTCTTGACATCCTTTACGATCGGATACGATGCCTAGAGTACGGAGACCTGTATGATTTCGTCAACTTAGTGAGTTTGATAGGGGCCGTATAGTGGGACTTCGGGAAGCTGGACTTTCTCTTCGAGCAATTGCAGTTAGAATGCAAAGAAGTGTAGACACTGTGGTTAGTTGTTGTCAGGCATGGCTTCGAGAAGGCCGTACGCAAAGAGCAAGGGGCACTGGACGCCGCCGTAGAACAACAGACCGTGAAGATCGCCGCCTAAGATTATTGGCCTTAAGGGACCGTTTCTCCACTACCAGGTCCATTGCATGAATGGTGTGCAGAAGACCTATTGGCATGCGAAGTGTTTACCGACGAATGAGAGGTTTTGGCTTGTTTTCATACCGGCCACACTGGGTCCTCCCTTTAACTCGAGAACACCGACGTAATCGCCTTGAGTGGTGCAGACAACGGTCACTCTGGGATCAGGAATGGAACAGTACTGTCTTCAGTGACGAGTCTCGATTTTGTTTAGGCATGCACGATGGCCGTGCCAGGGTTAGAAGGCGACGTGGTGAAAGGAGGAATCCACAGTTTTTTGTTGAAAGACATGTTCATCACACTGTTGGAGTTATGGTTTGGGGTGCTATAGCTTATGGTTCCAGGTCACCTTCAATCTTCATCAGAGGTAACATGAACGCGCAGCGTTATATCCACGAAGTTCTAGAACCCCATCTTTTACCCTATCTTGACACCCTGGCAGATCCAACTTTCCAACAAGATAATGCCCGACCACATGTTGCAAGAGTAACAATAGACTTCTTTCAACATAATGATGTCACATTGTTACCATGGCCACCAAGATCTCCCGACTTATCCCCAATTGAGCACGTGTGGGGTATGATGGGTAGGAGATTGCTCAATTTGCAACGTCCTCCTCAGACTCTAGAAGCACTTTGAGAGGAGTTGGTGGTTGCCTGGAATGAGATATTACAGGAGGGCATTGACCACCTGATCAGAAGCATGTCTAGGCGCGTTGGAGAATGCGTAGCACATCATGGTGCATCCACACATTATTAAAGATCAAAGTGCTTTAAAGCAGTGCAATCATTTTGAAATTTTTATCATTTACTTATTATGCATCATTAAGTACTTATACAAAATTTTATTAAAATAAAACCATTTAAACTGGTTGTTCGGATTTATGTCACTTAGTATATTTGATATGCTGTAACGATATTACGTCGGTATGTACTTTGTTTCTAGAAAACTTGTGGAGGCAGCAAAGGAGGCTACTGAATCTCTCCTTTAGCCAAAAGCGCATTGACTCGCACTCGGAAATTTTTCTGGAAGAAGCTGATAACCTTGCTAAGGAGTTAGTGACTCATGCTTCTCAAAAGAATTTAGATTTAGAAGGTTTAATGAGAGTCTGCTTCGCTCAAGCAACAGCTAGTAAGTCTGAATGCATTTAGGGTAGCAGAAGAATGTATTATTATATTTCTAGGAGCACTATTTGGGGTTAAATTCAAAGTAACCGTAGAAGATAGCAGGAAAATGGATAGGTGAGTAGTGATTTAGATGGTAATATCTTCATTGAATCAGCAACACCGTTGATATTTATCTTCTCTCTTATACAATTCATACGTACAAGAGTGCCTAAAGAGCAGAGTACCGTGATAGCTTTTCAGATTGAAAGAAGTTGATCTAGGGTATGCGCTCAAATATACAGGGTGTAAACGTTATGATAGTCATTATTTAAATGGGTGACAGAGGGGGTTGAAAGAAGCAAAAAGTTTCATATAACATAACGCCGCAAAACTGTGCAAAAGGATAACTAACCAATGTTACCGTTTGCGATCGATTGCAGGTTAGATAAGAGTGATGAAAGACCGAGGCGCTTTTGTCATGTGTGTTTTAAATATTTAATTTAATGAAACTTCCTTACTGACTACAAATTTTGGCTTAACTTAGAAAAACTTAATGCCATTTATTTGTTAATTACCCAATTTAAAAACGTTTTAGATTAGATTATAAAAATTAGTAAGATTGTGGTGATTGTGGTCGATAGAGTTGTAAACTATAAAGCCATTTAGACAAGAATCTATTGACTTTTGGACCATGAGTCACATAAACTTTTTGACTTGTTTTGACTCCCCCTATAACCCATTTCAATACTGACTAACGTAACGTTTACACCCTGTATACAATATGGATCGATGTTGTATTTCTATTCCTAACTCAAACATCAAAAATAATGCCTTATAGTTGAAACCGAACTCGGCCATAGGCAGTTAAGGCTTAATATTCCAGTATTTCATGTGTTTAGGTTTCTGTACTGCCATCAGAAGGTGAGACCAGACGTCTTTAAACATCTTTTCATTCATGTTGTCGCCAATAGACTATTTTTATGCGAAATTTGGTTTATTGTTCCAACAGTTTGTTTACAAACGATTATTTTGTTCCAGGTTTTTTTTTGTGGTTACGGTTAGGGCTAGAAATTCTATATCATTAATATTAGAAAGCTGAGGCATAAGAACTATTTCTTCTGACGGGTGATTTCATATTCTTGGTATCTGCTATTTTTTCAGAATATTTATAGAAACTGCACGTCGTGGCGTACATTTGTTTTATGTACCATCCATACTAATGCCACCGATGCCTAAGGCCTTTAATAAGTCCCTGAGCGATGCCATTATAGCTAGTAAAAGTGTGAGTAGATATATCTATATATAGTTATTCAATTATTTGCCATCAATGGTTCCTATCAGTCTGTGTGTCGCTCTATCTATTAGCGATTTTTTCAGTGCTCGATTGCAGTAACCGCTCCGGCTTAAATGAGATTTGGTTGATCAGCTGCTTGATAGTAGCTTTTTAAGGAGAAAAATACGAAACTTTGTTACAGAAATGTAGAACTATCTACCGTTCCTCAAAAATATACGCCGTACTTTCATTAGACAGTAATTTTGAGAAATCCTTAATCTACCAACCATATTTTTAAGAGCCACTGAGAGAATTTTAAACTTAGGTCTTCATTATACCATACCTCATATGAACTTCAGATAAATTGATAAAATTATACGTTTGAATGCGTTTCTAGATTATCTTTGAAAGGCGGAAGCAACTTGTTAGAAACAAAACTTTACTTCAGGATGACAAACCACAGACCGAACGTAAGTATACGATTAATCTTCATAGCGAAGGATCACATTAGACACAAAATCGCTGACTTGTAATAAACTAAGAAAAAACAAATTGAACAATTTACTTCAGAAAAGTGCTTAGCTTCATAACTGTTCCTCTCACTCCATGACCTATTTCTATGGATAAATCAAATTACAGTTACATCTATAACACAATCCTTTTGGCAAACATTAATATCGCTTACGAAAACGTTAACTTTTGCCTTTCCTGACATTCAAATCATGGAGCAACTGTCAAGTGAGGTTAATATTAAGGTTTACGTATGCGGTATTTGTGATTTTCAAAACTCTCTACTTGTATTCTACATGTATTTACTCTATTTAATGCTGTGTTGGTTTATTTCTATTAGGTAATAATTTGCATTTTTAAAGGGATAAGTGGAAAATAAGCTTGAAACTAAACTTTACCATCCATAAAGGACATTATTGTTATAATATTATATAATATTTTTTTGATTATTTTTCTCTGGACTCTAGGCAGCTATTCCGTTCCTTTGCCTGATGGCGGCCCGTACAGGGGCAAGTCTTCTAGGTTATCTATTAGTTCTTCTCTAACGTAAGAAGTACTGATTATTGCTGCCCATCGTATGATCTTGATGATGTCCTGTGCACTCTTCAAGTGTGTGACCAGTTTCATATATCGGCTTACTTTGTTTTGATATGTCTTTTTTATATTGTGTGTTGCTGGGATGGCAAAGTCTATCAGTGTTGCTGCTTGCGCTTCTTCTCAATTACATACATATCTGGTCTACTGTGTGATTCCTCGCCTTGCATTCTACAGTTGTTAATACACATGCTCCTATTCCAGTATATTTTTCATTCACTTCTTTCTAATGTTCGATCTAGCATATATTCTACCACCTACCGAAGTCCAAAACATACATAGCCAAGAGAAATATGTCTCTTGAGACGGGATTCGAACCCGCAAAGCGCACGGCGACTGTTCAGGAGACCGAAGAGTCTACTACTGCGACCACCGATGCTGCCCAGCAAATCCACCGAAATAACAACTCCTATGAGAATTATGAGATGTCCTTTAACCCCTTCAATATAGTCGTTGTATTTGACAGGTATTGTGTGCGTCGAGGGTACCAATCTTGATTTAATTATATTTTCGTCGCACAGCGTGATTCAGTAGACTACACAGTCGAGCAAGTTCGCAAACATTCCAGGCCGCGCCTCTCACTCTGATCAAAATTAAATTGTAAATTCAGACCAGCCAAAATTATTTCAGTATACAAAACCGATCAAAATTATTTTTTGGTGTTACAAAATAATTCGAGCAGTCAAAGCAATAATGCTTAAGCTATTTCAAATGATTTACTTCTTTTCTTTGCTCTATTTCTTCATTCCTTTCTTTCCTTCTTTCCCTTTTCCCCTTGAACATGATTTGTACCTGGGTAGCCAGACCTGACAGACTAACAGACCGACGAGACTTTTAACGACGAGAAAAGGTCCACCGGACCGCTCTGACGAATAATGACGAATAGAAGATATTTTCGAACATCGAAAAGTGTCAATCTATGCTACCTATCATTTCAGTGATTTAACAGAAAGTTTGGGATGCTGGTAAAAATAATGACATGACATGTATATTTTTTAGTGTAGTCCCTTTTCAGGCGCTCAGAAAAGCCACATGTTAGACTACATATTGGAGTGTCCTGAATTCACTGATGAACGAGCTATGTCTGAGATAATACTATTCCTTATCGCTGTGAGTTGAGTATAATATCTATATCTATACATTGAAAACTTTCCACCACGGATGTATCAAAAATGACTGATTAAAAGAATATACAGGGTGGCGCATCGAAAAGGAAACAGACGCATTTACTGGCAGCTCAGTTTTTTTTTCAAAAACGCTCAGACCCGTCGATTTTGTTTTCGAGGGGGACACAAATTTGGCAAAAAAACACGTTAACACGTGCAGCCCCTGAGCGGGGGTGACACCAACCCTAAAATCTTAAATCGAAAGGGGGGTCGAGTGATGCCTTATTTTTAAAGGTCTTCCAATTCCCTTTATAATGATGTAAAATACATGAGCTTCAGTTCAATAGTTTTGAAGATTTATTGACTTAAAGCTTAAAGTAGACTTTAATAGGTACATCAGATTAGTTTGTAGTACTTTCAGAAGAAATTTGACTAAAAGAATTTACTTAATATTAAATGCTTTTCTTCACTACGCCCATGGTTTGTTTATCATTTTGTTGTTGAAAATAGCTATTGGAGCGTTTTTTTGTGGCAAAAAAGTTATTTCTTGAAGAAAGATAACGAAATATCTCGTACTTATTATAAATAGGAATTTAGTACATAGTTTGCGATTGATTTGACCAAATTTTGTTGCTAAAATAGCTTGTCACGCTTTATTACATAAATTAACCATGGTATATTCCACAGCAGAAACAGTTGAAATTATCGAAATATTTTTCGGAAATAATCAGTGCGCTAATAGAAAACTGAGCTACCAGTAAATGCGTCTGTTTCGTTTTCGATGCGCCACCCTGTATATAGAGAATATATCAAGGTCTTACAATTCATTATATTCTTATATACAGGGTGTTTCAGTTTATTGTTGCATAACTTTAAGATTAGATAGAACTTTTAAAATTAGTGCATAAAGTCTATATAAACATGGGTCAAAAAATGCGTGGCTTCCGAAATACAGGGTGTTTATATTTACTTTCTAAAATAGTTTTTTTTTTAAATATTTCGAACAATATTTGATGTATAACAGTGAAAATTGGTATACAAGGGTTCTTTGGTACGACAAAACGAACCATGTTTTACTGTAGCCGCTAGAGGGCGCTCTCTACTGTACCTGTAGTCTGTTAAAATAACCGAAAAAATTTTCTTAGTGAAATTTTTTGCTTTTTGAATAAAAAAACTGATTCTTCGCACTTTTCAACATAAAAAAGCTCTCTTGTGAATTTTAGTTATAGTTAGCCGTTTTTGAGATATTTCGATTTTTAAGGTGCGATGCATTTTTAATTATTTACGATAAAATAACGCTAAAAAGTCAGTATCTCGATAATTCTTAGAAGTAGGCTGTGCCTGCAAATATTTTTGAAATTGAAAGCAGAATAAGGTTGACAGTTATTTTTATTGTCTGTTGAAACCTGAAACGTGTTTTTGCAATTGTGAATGCACGAAATTTAGTTTCTTTTACCTGTTTTTTTTTGTAAGTTTTATAAAAATGCCATTTTTATTCTCCAATCAAGAGTTAGCGGATATTCATTTTGTGTATGGCTTTGTAAATGAAAACTTAGCAGAAGCAGCCAGAAAATACGCACGAAGATTTCCAAACAGACGACATCTAACTCGCTCAGTATTTGTAAGAGTGCATCGCCAAATAATTGAAAATGGTTTTGGAATTCTCCAAAGGGATCAAAACATAAATGTTTATCAGCGCAGATTTACCCGTATGATTCTGCGTGAGTTTGATAGAGATCCGACCTCAAGTGTTAGGAGAGTCTCTGGTGCCTTGGGAATTTAAGCAAGCGATGTTCACCGTGTTCTTAGAAATGACCATAGACGACCTTACCATTTGCAACCTGTGCAAGGACTACAGCCAGGGGACGGAGAACGAAGAGAACATTTTGTCAGTGGATTCTTGATAGAACTGATAATAATAGGGAGTTTTTAAGTAACGTTTTATGGACCGATGAGGCATGCTTCACTAGACGTGGAGTGGTAAATTTTCATAATCAACATATTTGCGACTTTCTTGGATTTTTTAAAGGCTGAACATGCAAATATGTGGGATAATGTTATGTTAGATTTAAGAAGATTGGCCTGGTTCCAGCTTGATGCTTGTCCAGCTCATTATTCGAGAATAGTTAGAAACTGGCTGGACGAAAATTATCCAGAAAGATGGATCGGCCGTGGAGGACCAGTCGCCTGGCCTCCACGATCCCCTGACCTAAATCCATTAGATTTCTTTGTGTGGGGATTTCTAAAACAAAAGTGTACCAGACTCCCGTAATCACAAGAGATATGCTAATAGAAAGAATCAGGAATGCATGTGATGAAATGAGGCCTTATTTGAATAATTCTATACTACGTTCGATCATTCGTAGATGTGAATTGTGTATTGAACAATTGGGTTTACATTTCGAGCAACTACTTTAGGTTTTGCATGTTTGTCCTAACTATCCAATAGCATTTTAGTTGTAAATAATTAATTTAATTTGTTAAAAATAATATTGGAAAATTAAACAAATTAATATTCTGTTTTTTTGTTTTTATTTGGAGTTAGGAATTATTGCTGTGTTTAAAAACACAATCTAAACGATCATCTTAATTACTTGTAATGCCCAAATCGAAAATGTAAAAAAAAATATTATTTTCCCATAAATAATTAAAAATGCATCGAACCCTAAAAATCGAAATATCTCAAAGACGGCTAACTATAACGAAAACTCACAGGAAAGCTTTTTTATGTTGAAAAGTGCGAAGAATCAGTCTTTTTATTCAAAAAGCAAAAAATTGTGCACTAAGTAAAAATTTTCGGTCATTTTAATACACTACAGGTACAGTAGAGAGCGCCCTCTAGCGGCTACAGTAAAACTATGCCCATGGTTCGTTTTGTCGTACCAATATACCAATTTTCACTGTTATACATCAAATATTGTTCGAAATATTTAAAAAAAACTATTTTAGAAAGTAAATTTAAACACCCTGTATTCCGGAAGCCACGCATTTTTCGACCCATGTTTATATAGACTTTATGCATTAATTTTAAAAGTTCTATCGAATCTTAAAGTTATGCAACAATAAACTGAATCACCCTGTATATACTTGTTTACGCATCGAAGTGTATTTGATCGTGAATGCTCCGTTTTTGGCCTGTGATTTTTGACGATTCATAGATTTTATTGTGTAATCTTATGACAACAGTAGTATTAATATATCGCATATAGACATAGATATAACTTTTAATCAAAATAAACAGACGTTTGGTTGGTCTACAGTCATACTATTCCGTCTAGGTTGTTAACTAGCTAAGTAAGTACTGTAACTGTAACATTTACATTGCTTCTATTACTTTGTCTCAACTTGTTGCTTTCAGGGAAATGAAACAAGCTCGGCGACATTAATGTATGCATGCCTCTTATTAGCCATGCATCCGGATATACAGGTAAAGAACAATATAATAGTTTGTATCCTATGTACACGGTGCTTTCAGTCTCGATACAATAGTTTTAGGAAATAATGGTCATGGAACTTATTTATAATCGAACACATTCAAATCACATATACATTGAATTTGGAAATGTGACGTTATTGCGAGTACCCGTTGGTACTTTTCAATGATTTTGCTTCTGACTGAAATGAAAATTTCCAACATAGGTCCTAAAATACGATCTCTCCGGGACATAGATGTACACTTCGGCTTTACACATTGAGATCTACATCGTATTTCAAAAGAATAAGGCTTTAAGGGGGTACCTCATCCATAGTACTAGTAGGCGATAGTTTGGCGATCCCGTAGTGCCTCATCCAAATATTTATTTATCGATATACTTCCTGGTTAATTGAAGAACAGGGTGTTTCAGAACTATGGGATCAAACTTGTAGGGGTTGAAGGGGCATTTGGCCTACGGAGCAACAAACTGCAATGCACGAGCAGCAGCGCGGTTGTATCAAGAACGCTATCCTGAACGACTGCATCCGAGAAAAGTTTATTGCCATTCATCGGCGGCTCTCCTAGTCAGATATTTTTAAAACCAACATTCATGATACTGGTGTTGCTCGAACCGTAAGGACGGTCGAATTTGAAGAAGTGGTCCTTCAGCGAGTTGCCGATGAACCATCAAGTAGCACACGTCACATTGCTGAGGATATGAATAGAAATCCCCATGCAATTTTTCCTAGAAAACATCAGCAACGTTGGTCTGTCAACGTATGGGCAGGCATTGTTGATCATTGTTTGATTGGGCCATACCTTGTACCGGAACGGTTGACAGGTCCTATTTACCGGCGTTTCTTGGAGGAAGTTCTTCCAGAACTTCTTGAAAATGTTCCATTGACAGCAAATGTGGTTTCAGCTTGATGGAGCGCCGGCTCACTTTGCTGTACAAGTACGTGAGTATTTTGAACAATCGTTGTGATGGTATCATGTACAAAGGGCAAACATTAAATGCATTGAATCCTATTTAGGCAATTCATCGTATTTCTAAATTTTAACGCGTCTTAGGGCCGTAGTGCCGTAGTGACACTTTTCCGGATATGTGTCCCTTATACTCAAATGTTTTGTACTGATACGCTGAATAACCGCTGGAAGTTTGATCCCTTAGTTCTGAAACACCCTGTATAATTGAGGCCCATTGGCTCTTTTTTTTAGTTCTTTTCAGGTGGTAGAGTGGTGTTTGATTCTGTCTCTGAAAATATTGATTTTTAGGAAAAGCTTTACCATGATGTAGTGAGTATTTGTGGACTAGACGATCCAATTACATTAGAAAAATTACCCAAAATAGATTATGCGGAACGCATTATCAAAGAAACGCTTCGGCTTTTTCCCTCTGCTCCAATAATTGGAAGGTATACGCAAGGGGACCTAGATATTGGTAAGTGTTGTACAAACGTTCAACATAATCTAGATTTATAGTATGTCACTGCTAACACGAAAGAAAGCTCTTATGTCGCACTGCAGTTTCTTTGCGAATTTTTGTTCCAGCGATTTGTTCCGCAGCATGTTACAGACTTTCCGATACAGCGAATATCTGGCACATGGGTCGCAGACCACACAGAATCCTTATGCAAAATCAATGTTTTTTTAATTCCAGTACGTTGTAGATCTGAAGACGCAGAACAAAGTGTACCGGATGTCCGGCTTTGAATTGACCCCTCCTCTAACTTTTTTATATGACCTTACAGAAGAAAAAATTTCATATAAAAGTTGAACAAGAGTTAATATAAACTTCTTTATGTATTTACCCTTTTTTGAGTGTCATTTACTCTCGAGTATCCGAGTTCGAACGAGTTTGCATCTAGCCACTTATGCAATCTGGTCTAGGACCGAAATACATATGATTAAATGACACATACATTCGAGATTTTGATTAAAGCAATAAAAGTAAGTCTAACAAATCATATATATTTGGAATCAGAAAAATAGAATTTCATTTTCACTGAACATATACAGGGAGTTCCATTTAAAAAAATACAATTTAATTCAACAGTACTTTTTCGAGACAGTTTGTATACAAAAAATATTACATGAAAAGCTGCATATAACTTTTATATACAACTTTTTTTCTAGATTCCCGAACGCTCCATACATGGGCTCACAGTTTTTCCCCGAGTAGTTCCTGAGAGAAAAGGGCCATCAAGGTGAAATATCCGTATTGTATTACATCATACTGCGGATAGGATACACGATCTATAATAAATAAATAAATCCTTGTGCGTTTTCATCAATATCACTAGTAGATAAAATCAACCATCAGTTCAATTCTATCACATGTGCAGATTAGCGCAAAGTTGCCTGGACTGCTCCTAGAATCTTTCCAAGAACTGTTGAGAATTATCCTGTGGGAGTACATCTTAAATATATTCAGGATTATACAGGGTGACCGACAATACTACTGACGTGAATATCAAATTTGCTTTTTTCTTAGAGAACTACATATAGGTACTTCTATTAAATATTTTGATACACCAACATATTTCTGCTCTTTGTTGAGTAATAATTATAAGAAAACATAGGTGTAGAGATAATATGTATTTTGTCTAAAGAAGTTTTAGTGTGGCGACCCGTTCCGCAATCACGTTTATGGACAAAGAATTGAATTTCCTGTAACTATTTCTTGAATTGGTTCAACTTGTTGTACAGAGAACGCAACCCAATTCGAAAATAAATAAATTATTCCACATAACATTCAAATGGGACACGTTATATATTTCCACATTTTCAGATTCCATTCCACTTTTTTCAAGCTGACTCCTGATACAGAGGTCAAGTGTGTTGTGACGAAATTTGAAGAATGCAACTTTATTAGTCACTCGATCTATTAAAATCGCTTTGACATATACCATACTAGAAAGAATACATATTACCTACACGAAAAGATGCAGGAGTATTTAGGATACCTCATATCTAACAATTTTCCCACATCGGAGCGTTCTGAATATGTGTATAGTCAAACCTGAGCTCTGTGATATGATGTACAAGAGTTTCATAGTAACAAACACTAGAAATTCTGTAGAGATTTACTAAAAATCGGTATGAATGGAAGCGAAACCAATTTTTAAGATTGAAAGAGCTTTTATGCCATTCTGGCAATGACGGCGACGATATGCAATAATAGATATAGGTATCAACGAAAATAACTTTGGTATCCAGTTCAGTAGTGTATATTTGAAATCTTCATCAATTCTCGTAAAAGTGTGCGTCTAGGAGCAACACCCCATACATGGAAGCATGGACCACCCAGTATATCTGATAGAATTGCAAGGCTGGTCAGCCGACGAGTAGGGATAACGATAAGAAAGTAAAGAAAAACCAAATAGCTATCATAAGTCATGTGTCGCAGGGTATGGACAGCCCAACCTAGATTTCGAAAACTACTCGTGAAAAAACATTGGATCCATGGATACCTTCGTTCTACGTCTTGAGATCTACAACACAATTAATTTTTGAACGAAATAGCTGAAATGTCTTTTATTGTAATGGAAAATTTATCCGTACTCAAAGTCTCACCACATGTCGCGAACCATCTGCCTACAACTTGTTGGGAATGTGCGTTCCCATCAAAACAAATTTTCGCAGCATGTTGCACATCATGTGCGGGTACATCGTCAGGCATGATAATGACAACTTGTTAGGATAGAAACGTACGTACATTGAAACTCTTACGAGTATGCTACGCAGACAGTGGACAGCCTAATCACACTAATCTTTGTAGAATGACAGCCTCACAGTTTCATTTCTTCTAGGTGGCAGAGTGATACCCAAACATTCGACAGTGTATCTACACATAGTTTATACTCATAGAGATCCTAGATTCTGGCAAGAACCACTGACGTTCGATCCTGATCGCTTCTTACAGGAAAATGCCTCAAAAATCTACCCATTCAGCTACATACCTTTTTCATATGGCTCGAGAAATTGCATTGGTAAGAGTCCGCTCCATCTTGTTAATATTTTGACAATAATGTCAATTAAGGAAGTGAAACCATTGCAGTTTTCAGCTAAAGTCATACTTACTAGTGAAGTTTCCCTTTAAGGTTTGAGATTTGCAATGACTAGTATAAAGATAGCATTGGTAAACCTAATCCGGAAGGTGAAGGTATTTACCGATTACAAAAGTGTCGAAGATGTCAAATTGAAGGCCCACTTCTTACTTAGACCGAGAGATGGATGGAAACTAAGATTTGAAGCCAGAAACTGACACAATGCTTGAGAAGAACTAATAGTAACGTATCTATTATAAGATTTTTGTCAATCTAATCACTATGTTAATATGCATTTATTGATGTAAAATATCACATGAAATTTGAAACAACGGAATGACGATTTATTGGTCAAGGTCACTGCGAAAAAAAATAAAGGAAGATGATCTCAAAGGGTTTTGGTTTTCACGCATTACTTCATCACGAATAAAGCTAATTATTTGCAGTTTGCAAGTTGTTTGCAAGTTGCATTTGTGTATGATAACGCAACTATCTAGAATTATTTTATAGAAAAATGAACAAAGTATAACCTTATTTGTACATCCAGCTAAAGACCACATATGAAAAGGCTCGTTTGTTTAAATTTAAGAAAAATTCAATATCTCAAAAGCGGTACCACTTTTATATAGGTAAGTTTTTGTTATTTCGGAGGTCAGTCCGAAGCCTACCTCCTCCTTAAGTTTGTCGCGGTACTTATTGGACATCCTGTATAGAGATTAAATGGAAGACTATTAAGAAGCCATGAAGGAATACTTCGGGGAAGTGGAGGTAGTTAAATCCGAAATATGTTAAGCTTTGTCCAGTGGTTACAATCTTTGCAGGGTCACAGCAGTTGTTTCCGGATGAAGTTCAGGGCTGATCTCACAGATCACGGTGGCACATTCTAGACTTGGTAACCGTTCGCAGTGTACAACTTTCGAACCAATAAATCTTAAACTTTGAGGTACGGGACTGATTTACTTTAAACCCGTAAAAGTGAGTCTTGTTTTTCTATTGCAAACTCTAATTTGTCCAGTAAATACCGAAAATCGGCAGCGTTCTAGTTGTTCTAATAATGAATTTTCTATTTTCTTAATTCAATCTCTCAGTCAACATTTGTGAAGCCCTTTGATTGCAATAAATGAGCTAACAGCAATATAATAATAAGAAACAACCACTTTTCGTTTCTTTTTTGTCATCTTTAATCAGCAATTATTGGATAATGATCAATAATTTTATGAAGTACTTTTCTCTCTTTCTCTCAAGTAGGTACTGTGGAAACGGCTAAGCACTGTCTCATGCGAGAGCAAAAATTGCAGTAGCATAACTCTAGTGTGTCAGAGAAATTCTCATGTTCTGTGAAAACGCATCCGACTTTTAATTCTTATGAGACAAAAATTTTCGTCTCCTTGTGGACACTTAGCTAAGGACTGCGCCCCGTACCGTGATTAACTCAGATAGGAATCTCCAGAAGGACCCTGCGGCTTCGCCTCAGCAGGCCAGCAAAGTTATAATACAGTTGTTATAGGACCTAATCGCTATAGACGCGTCTCTATTTATCTAGCAGCAGAATTAGGCGGGCAGTGATCCGTATAATCACTTTTGTCGGGAGGAGAACTGGCAAAAAGCAGACGGGGCGAAATCGTGATAGAGACGAATCGCTGCTGGGAAACTTTTCTTGGTTTCTCTTTGGCTGAGAGCTGTATGTGATTGATGGCCAGATAAAAACTGTGCAACCAAGTTCTCAAGCGCTTAGTGGAAGCGAGTATTGGACTTGATCTGGGAGTAGCGCTGAAAGTTGCTATATAAGTCTGTAATTCTAGGTTGAATACATTACTCGAATGTCTTACAGGGTTTGTCCGGAAAGTAATAGGACTGAGTCGATTTAAAAAAATTTATTGAGCCAATCGTTACAATTCTTTAAACACTTTCAAAATAGCCTCCTTCTGCGTCGATGCAGCGCTGCCAGCGCGATTTCCAAGTCTGAAGGCGTCACGGAAGGCATTCTCCGGAATACCCTTGAGAGCCGCGGTGCATGCTGCTTGGATCCCCTCTGTCGTCTCAAAATGCTTGCCTTTTCAGGCGAGGAAACAAAAAATAGTCCTGGGGGGGCACATCTGGGCTGTAGGGCGGCTGCGGAAGCGTTGGGATGCCGGCCTAGGTCAGGTGGCTGTTCACAAGAAAGGCGGTGTGAGCCGGGGCGTTGTCGTGGTGCAACTTCCAGTCGGCTGCGATGTCTTGTCGGACCCGACTGACCCTTCGTTTGAGTCTCCTGAGCACTTCCACGTAAAAATTGGGGTTGACGGTTTGTCCAGGAGGAACAAATTCATGGTGGACGATGCCTTTGATGTCAAAAAGACAATGAGCATCGTTTTCACTATGGGTTTGCTCATTCCTCCCTTTTTTGGGCGAGGAGACGCCGTCGTGTGCCACTCGGAAGATTGCCTCTTTGTCTCGGGATCATACTCACGACTCGTCATCTGGGGGGTCACTTTCACACATGTTCCAAGTTTCTTGGCACAATTTCTGGTCGTCAGTGAGCACTTTTGGGACCATCTTCGCGCACACCTTGCGCATGTTCAAATGCTGTCTCACAACGTCATGAACCACAGATTTTGGTAAATTTAACATCTGGGTAAGCCTGCTTGATCACATCAAACGTCTCTGTCGCAGTTTTACCGAGTTTCACACAGAATTTAATCGCGTACCTTTGCTCTAACGAACGCTGCATTTTCGGCTTGAACGACTCACAGAAACACGTCGCGCAAAAATGCCTGTCCTGACTCTCCAAGTGCTCGGAGACAACTGACCAGCCGCTCATTCGTTATCCAGGAACGCCCTCTACCGAATCCAGTCGGTGCGCGCACACTCCGAAGTACAGTCATTGTGAAGAAAATGAGTCCTATTACTTTCCGGACAAACCCTGTATCCCATAGGTATCTTTAAAAGTATACATTACTACTACTACCACCCTCACTACTATGAGGAAGTATTATAATGCAGGATAAATAGGATATATTTGCTTTCCGTCTGTGCGATTACAACCAACCGTATACAACGTTGATTCTTGGTTTTTAGCAACGCTGTATCCGGTTGGTTATGGCCTCAGACACAGAAAGCAAACATATCCTATGCAGCCTGAGTTTAAGCAGCGTTTTGCAAATCGCTGAGTGACAATAGAAGGAATGCTTCTTGTTTGGCAAACGCTGTCAATCAAAGATGCCGAGAGACTGATCTGGGTTTTTTTACGGGAATCCATTACATTTTGACGTCTACTGAGGGGAACAGCTGACCAGCAAGTGATATTTATGTATTAAAGTCTGTAGTGTTGACAGTCATTAAGCGGGTAAAACTCAGGATCGTATTCAGAACTGCTTCTTGTTTTATTCCTACCTGACTTGAGATGCAGACCTGATTATTGGCATCAATTTTGCTTGTAGCGTTTTTTCTTGGGTGCTAAGGAACTTTTCTAAGCCAAAGCGTTGTTAGGAAGTATGAAGACTTAGCTTACAAAAGACCACAACGGAATACGACTTCGCTTACGGATCTAGCGCTGATAGATCCATCTTGAAATGTTTGCTAGCATATTTGATGTAACAGATACTCCTGGTAGAGATTATATAGTTTCCTGCTGCCAAAGAGCAGCTGTCATAATTTGTTTTTTTACCAAGCATTATAATGCTCAACTGCTGAATGTTGCATTTCATCTAGAAACATGTGATAATGGTATGCTTCGGTTTTGGAATTTCAAATTACATGAGTGATTCCAAAAGCTACAACTAGAATTTCACAGTAGGCGGTCTCAGCTAGTGGGATTGTCTGAATTTTTAGCTATTTAGTTAACTATATTTCCTTCTAGCTTGTAAGTTCAATACTAATTTCATAAAGTCACTATATTCCTGGACTTTATAAAAGATACCAACGCTTGCATTCACAAAATGATCCCTCGTCCCTTCATAAATATTCCTGCTTACCTAGCAAAGGTCAAAGTCCCTACGCTATGCCGCATGGTGCCGAGTTATTAAAGCATAGAATCCTTTCACTCCAGTCAGTAGCGTAGATGAAAAGGAAAAGGACGAAAATGATGTATATGTTTCATTAACGCCACGTCATAAGTGGTGGTTTAAGTAAGAAGGAGCCACACGCAGACTGAACAAAGTGTGAAAGGCAGGCCAGAACATACGCAGTTGTAAGTGGGACATAAGTGATTAAAAAGATTTTACTCAGAAAAATTCCCAATGCAGATCGCTTCTGGAGATAGACGAAGAAATATAATAATCCCAATATAGTTTTATTTTTTCCTGACAATATTTGAGGTGGGATTTCAGAATAAATTGCGTATTAACATTTACACTATTTATTAGCTTTCCAATGTGGCATTTCCTCACTTGTCCTCAATAGTCGGTTTTATTTTTTCATATAGACGCCATATTGGATTTATGCTCAAGCTAATTCATATTCCAAAAATGTATGATATGCGTCAGACATTGATATCGCCAAACATTAGATGTAAACGCAATTTGCTTATAGCTGGGCCTAGAAATGACAGGTTATCGCAGTTTAATCGATTACATTATCAATTCAAATATGGTTCAGCCCTTGAGAGGATTGCTCAGCCGTAGATCAATATTATTTAGATTCAAGATCTGTTCATTGGTCTCTATATGACGGATATGAAATATATTTAGCAGCGCTTTCTCTCACTCTAATAGGTTTCTATCAGCTTCCTATTGTTTCTAATATCAAGTAATATGAAAGCTTAGCATTAGGTCAATTCTTACTCGATGATTAAGATCAACTGAAGACATTTGAAGTATTATATTTTTCAACCCGGAGCAACCACGCAGGCAAAAGCCTAAATGCCAGGACACCGCGGCTGCCACGAGGATCCCAAAAAAACCTTGTTAATCCGATTTATGCTTACGGTTAGTAGATCTGGGAAAAGCCTCCTCTTGTAGATTGAGTGGTCGTATCGGTCAGTTCTGGATGTACTAAGTGTGACACAACACAGAACAATAATTGTTCATTGTCTCATATAACTTAATTGAACCTCAATCAAACATGTTTCACTTATGATTGATTGAGTTAACAAGTTCCTCATATTAGGTGATTAACCTTTAAGTTCAAAGCGAGAAGCATTGACATGAGCTAGAATGCAAGAACCGGAAGTACGCCAGAGCTCTATCTGACCGCGAATGTTGGTGTATGAATACAAGCTTACTTCGTTCCATATACAAGTAGCATCCAGTAATGAAAGAAGGTTGTCGGAAAGGGTTAATGTCAGCTACATTTAGGACTAGAAGATTCCGACGTATTGTTTTCGGGTAAGCTTAAGGGCTTACATCCTACACTAAGGGTACATAATTATGTCTATAAACCTGAGAGTTAGATGTCACTTCAGTGATGGTGAACGATTATTTGGTGAAATACCTACTCGATAATCTGTATGAGGA